CTGCAGATAAATAACTATGAATTGAATACAAAAACACAAAGTTTTTTATAACTTTTTAATTAAATTCCTTGTGTAAAATTCTGTTTACGAATAACATGGACATGTTATATATCATATAAAACCCTAATTATTCAGGATTATTTTAATGTATATTTTAAATAAATAAACTTCACGGTACTAAACTAAATTAAAATTAAAGTGGCATCGTTAATAAAAGGCTACCCTGTATTACTCAAATTTTCTAGTTTCTGTAATAATTATTATTAGTTTGTACTGGTTAATTTGGACACAGTTTTTTAATTTTATAAAATTAGCTTATCATTATAAAATAATATAATCTCTGTTTATCATAAAATTATAATAGTTTAAATTATTTTATTAATATTTTATGCTATATACATTTTATGATACAAATATTATACATCTTTCATTTATTAAACTTATTTTCAAATTACCTAGGTATCAAAACTTAATTATTTAATTATCAACTGTGTTTCTTATGATTTATCTAAATTTTCAAAAATAATTCAAAATTTTACTTTAAATTCATTAGAAAATGTGAAACTGGGGGTCACTATCAGACAATACAGGAGTTCATAGCCCGGCTAACCCATGTTCAGCCAAATGAGAGACCAGACATCTCGGAAGTACTCGAACTGCTCGGGGATATGGAAATTGATATCACATTCGTGTTGGACGAGTACCACATCCCTGTCCACAGACAACCCAGCACTGAGGGCACCGGTAGTCTAAATGATGTTGAAGTCGACAACATTAAGAGCACCGATATGTTAGTGACGGATGTCTTAAATAAATACATTAAAAGCCTAATACAAGCCATACATACGTCGGACGATTCGTATATGAATGGCACCGGTAGTCAAGTACTGACAATTACTGGAGACATACCGGTGATGAAAAAAATAAGTGAATTATACATTGAAAGTGATACCAGTGCCGCACAGTTTGATAATATTGAGCTAATGGGCACTGGTCAGTTTGGTGCCGTATATAAAGTCAGGGATATCAAGTTGGACACGTATTATGCGATTAAGAAATATCCAATTTTAGGTAGGTGCTTTATAGTAAAGTAATTTGTATTATATTTAAAAAAATATACTAATTTTTTATAAGATTTCAAAATTATGGCTGTGTCGATTTAGCCCGCAAAATTACTGCCGCAAAGTTACTGCCCACAAAATTTCATATGAAATTTTGATCAAAATTACACATTCAATTTCTTTAAAGTTCTGCCCACAAATTCTATCTATACTTTTGCCCACAAATATGCCCACAAATGTTTTTTTCAATATTTCTGCCCACAATTGTGGAATACTTTAGAAAGAAATTGTTGGCAAAATTGTGGGAATAAATGTGAGCAAAAATGTGGGCATAATTATAGACAGAATTTGTGGGACAAGTATAGTGGAATTTGTGGGTAAAAGTATACATTGAATTTGTGGGCATATTTGTGGGCAAATGTATACATAGAATTTGTGGACAGAATTGTGGGCAGAATTATATGCAAAAGTATGGACAGAATTTGTGGGCAGAATTGTGGGCAAAAGTATACATTGAATTTGTGGGCAGAATTGTGGGCAAAAGTATACATAGAATTTGTGGGCAGAATTGTGGGCAAATGTATACATTGAATTTGTGGGCAGAACTGTTGAGAAACTGTGTAATTTTGATCAAAATTTCATATGAAATTTTGTGGGCAGTAATCTTGCGGCAGTAATTTTGCGGGCTAAATCGACACAGCCCAAAATTATGAGTAATGGCTGATTGGCCATTTTATAATAATCATGAAACCATAATTATATTATTTCATAAGTCACATATTAATTACAGTCTGGATTATGAGTTTAAAATATCTCATAGGTTGTTTAACTAAATATTATATTATTATTTGATAGAAATTTGTAAATTATATCCAGGACAATATTAAAGTTAATTAAACATATTTTATAGGCTTAACGTTAATTAGGAAATATTCACAATTTTCAAGTTATACTAATAGTTTGTTGAAAATAAACTAATTAAAAATTTAGCATCATTAAACAAAATACAAAACGTGAATGGTCAAATCGAAAAATTGTAGATCTCGTTGTTTGTATCCCAAAATGTAATAACAGAATAATCGAAATTTGTACTTATAACCTAAATACAAAACATTTACAGTTTTCTAGTATTTTAAACTAATTTATCATGTTAAGTCCGCGAACTGTATTAGTTTATTATTTAAATTATAAAATTAATTGCTAATATGCTTATTGTTATTACAATTAATTAGACCTAACAAAAATGACAGATGTACTTTATTTTATAGATGAACAACAACTAAACACCAAACTGATCCAGATCAAGCTATGGTCACAAATGAACCGGGATTATTTCATACAATACATCCACCATTGGTTTGCCTATGAAGCTGCCAGTCCTACCACAGGACCGGGAGCTCGTATACTAACCCTTAGCCTACAAATGGATTTGTGCTGTCTATCCCTACGGACAGTATTGTCTAAAATGCGCCGACACTTTGCGGCCAAACCTAAACGCCTGTTCCCTATACTAGGCTTTTATATGGCATCGGAACTCCTACTTGAAATCCTTGAGTGTGTCCACCACTTGCATACCTGTGCGCCCCCTATAATACACAGCAATATAAAACCCACAAACATTATGATCGCACCGACACCTGACGGACGGTTTGTTAAATTGTCGGACTTTGAGCTGTCGGCCACGAGGGGTCAGTCGCACACGGATTGGCCCGAAAAGGTAATGACATATAAATATATGGCACCCGAAGTCATAGGACGGGAACGGTATGACACGAGGGCTGACATGTATAGCGTGGGTGTTGTGGTCCAGGAGTTGTTTAACTTCGATATCAACAAGTATTTAAATGTTTTTAATTAATATTTAATTTGAAATCATTAATAGCTCTCTCTCTCTCTCTCTCTCTCTCTCTCTCTCTCTCTCTCACCCACTCATAGCTACAGTACTGAGGAATTCAGTCCAAAATACAGCAAAATCTTCGACATATGTCTGAGTCTTATGAATGGCTTGAGTGGTGTCCGGCCCTCCAGTATTGACCTCATATACAGTCGACAGGAATGGCAGCAACCGATGGACAGGGAGGTCAGGGATTCTATCGCCGACACTATAGACTTAAACACTACTTACGATATAAACACAGCATTTGTTGAATACTTTTTGCAAACCAAATATAAATCCAATGATAAGTCTATGAGAAGTCTGAACACAATCGCACAGTTAGCTCAGCGCCGGCTGTCTATGACAGAGGAACCTATGGATGATATAATGAGTGGACAGTTAGTCAAACCAATTGATACAATGCCTGAGTTGGGAACACTGGGAGCACTGGTAATCAAATCTGTGAAAGACTTAATCAGTTATTCAAATGAAGGACAGTTAGCTAACCCAGAGGTAGACAATACTACTAATACAATAGATGGAGAGGTAGTTATTCAGTCCATCGATACACCAGAGGAACGAGATGTCAGCACATCTAATGAGTCAATAGAAAACTCAATCGATGGACAGGTAGTCAATCAAATGGATATTTATGTGACGGAAGTAATGAAGGAAATGGTAGTCAAACCCATATCAGAGGCTATTATCGATTCATTTAAGGAACGGGATGTCAGTCCACAGAATGAGCTCACAGTAGACACTGTAGACGGACTGGTAGTCCAATCACCGGAACAACCAATAATGGAAACAATTGTGGAAAGGGATGTCAAACCTCTTGAAAGCCTAATAGTCTACACATCCGATGGACAGGTAGTCATTCCGCGACAAAAGTCAGTTGTAGACGAGACTGACGGACAGGTAGTTAGCCGTCAAGAAGTTCCAAAACGTGTAGCACTGGTGGGCACACATTGGGTGGGAGTGGAGCCCCCGGAGGGACAGGAGGCTGAGGCACAGGTCGAGGCTTTGATACATAATCTGTTGGAAACTCTGGAGCCGTTGACAGACATCGAGCCATACATCCGACCCAACCATCTGTTGGATGCCTTCCGATTGGATGACAAGTGTTTGGGCGCCGGCCTATCGGGACCTGTAGTACGGGGTATAGACGGCAGCGATGGCCGGGAATACGCGATTAAAATGCATTTCATTGTCGGTATGTATTCATCAAATCTATAAAATTAATGTTTATTTCAAAACTAAAATAAAATCTCATTTAAAACTTTGTATTTAAAATCAATTTTAAACTGTAATTTTATATACATTTTATGACTCATATAAGCATTTAACTGATATGTTTGTATATGGATCATTTTATGTTAACCTTTTCATTATTTATTGCAATGCAAAGTAATTATTTTAAAATTTTATCTAATTTAAAATTATACACAATATGTTTTTATAATGTCCATTAGGATAACATTAGTTTTATTTAATAATGATTTAATAGCTTAAAATTGATACCAAACTGTAGGTATAAATTTTAAATTAATATTTATACTGTGTTATTAATAGATTTATTTTAATTAATTTTTGGGTTTGATTCTTCAAGATCATTTCTATAGATATCTAATTAATTTTTTTATTTACTACAAATTTTAAACTGTAATTTTATATACAATTTATAATTCTTATAAATATACAGTCATTCCCAATATAGATTGGAACGGTTTTTCTAAGAAAACCACATGAAGACAATTTTTGATTTCATTCATATTTATATAAATTTAGTTATAGTACATGTAAATATGTTTGTATAAAATTAATAAAAAATTAATATTTAGCTATAGTTTAATATATAACCAGTTCTCTCTCTTTTCCCTGGCGGGTATGGCGGATATGGCTAAATTTTGGCGAAAGTTTGGCAAAAGTTTGGCGAAAGTTTGGCGGTTTTGGCGGGCTGGCAATTAAGACAGTCCCTGCTAAAATATGAATTTAATTTGATTTGAGTTAAGTCTAATAAATAAGCCATTATTACATTTACAACATTTTCATGTGCTAGTTTTCATTTATGAAAATATTATTTACAGTTTGTGAAACACATACAAAACAAGTAATTAGTATTTATCTTCAAATTATAATACCTTATTATAACATTCAGTGTATTTTATCATAAATTATATATTATTATCCAAATAATTTATTAAAAAGTACAAACAATATATTAACAAATTATAATGTTAATTAAATATAAAAATAGTCCATTAAAGAAATAACTTTTGAAAAATAAATTAATTCTTTCATTGCTAACCAAAAATTATTTAGGGTTATTATAAAGTTCAATTAAAGTTTAGTTTAACGAATATTTACAGTTTATTTTTTTATTAGTTTTAAACTAATAAAGGGATATACTAAACTTATCTAATATGTACCAACTAAATAACTATTAAATTGTATTTACCATGGTAATTATTTTATTTAAATATTTCTTTAAATTATAGAAATATGAACAGTGAATACAAACCAATGTACGGAAAGCTATTGGAAACTACCATCAAATGTCTGAACGGCATCTCACATGTCAGGCCTACCAGCGATCAACTTCTGGAAAACTCGTGGGAGTGGGCCCTACCTTACGGTGCCATACGAGACGAGATCTGTGAGCACCGGGATGTCGTCATACAAGACATTAACCAACAATTTATTGAACACTTTATGCAAACAAAATACACTATGAATGAGGAAATGCTTGCAATGAATACAAACCCTATTAACACATCTATGATAGACATGTCTATCCATGAGGCCATACCTGAAGAACCCAGCGATGAATCACTCGATGATAACATACCCTCCCATGAGGTCATCCATACTATAGATTCAGTAGACACGGGAACTCCATGTGAAGAGTCCATTGAAATATTGAGAGATATAGACATCACTACAGAAACTCTAAACCAGAGTTCAGATGAGATAATCACCGAAATGTATAAATCGTGTGAAGATCTCACAGATATTGCCATTGATGTAGTGCTACCTAAAGCACTGGTAGATAATGAGGACATACTTACCAATAACACTACTCTTACACAACCAAAATCCATAGACATAACCACTGATGAGACACTACCCATAACAATGGCCAGGGATGTGCTCATACACTCGGAACCAATAGTTATATTCCCAGATGTGGTCACAACTACTGAAAACCCTATCGACATCTCCAGAGTAGAGGCCATACCTTACATGGACTCCGAGGAAATGGATACTCAGGTTAAGGTAGCCATAGATCGTGAAGACATTATCGACGATATCATAGCCAATCATGAATTTTTTGACCCTGATCAAGTGCTCCCTAAAAGGGAAATGGATATAACCGGTGATGAGTTTATAATACCTGTACTGACTGAGAGACTAAACGCGGAACAGTCTGTTGGTAATTATTTAGACATAGAAAAGGCGGTCACCGTTGAGGACAGGGATGTGGCTATAGATAAGCTCATCGAAAGTATTGACTCGGAAATGGGTATCGATTTACAAAATAAACAGTCAATTGATGAACAAATAGATAAGATTATCGACGACCAGAATCTGCTTAATAGCTCAGTCAGTTTGACCCTGGATCAAATAATTAATATTGCACCAGGACAGGTTAATGGCATACCTGATGATGATCTGGCTATTGATGAACCCATAATAACAAAGGAAGTCATAATTATAAGAGAGGAACCGATGGATGAATCGTTAGATAAGATAATAATTGATCAGAAGTTACAAACTTCTGAGTCTATGGATCAACAAATAGATTGTATATTAGATGAACAGGATTTGCTGAATAGAGAGGTCAATTTGACCCTGGATCAAATTATTGATGACACTGATATTACACCAGTATCAATTAATGATAATGAATCAGTATCAGTTAATGAAATTATGGATAAGGCTATGATTGAATGGCTAACTCCAAAGGAAGTCATAATTATTAATGAGGAACCGATAGATGAATCGATAGATAAGATAATAGATAACCACAAGTTTCTGGACAATAATGATGTCAAAAATAACAATACCATTGATTTATTAGTAGATAAAATAGTAGATAAGATAATTATAGAAGAAACTATACCTAGTAATGAAACGATAGACATAATAGCACCGGTAGTTTCTACTGAATTAACCACAAATAATAATGCATTAATAAGTAGTGATTTGATTGATAAGTCGATGGATACTAAAAATGAAGATATTGTGGAGATTCCCATTGAAAATAATAAATATGGTGATAATTTTATTGAAGTGGGACAGTTAGCCATTGGTGATTTTGGACCCGTATATAAAGTACTGCATAAAGCCTATCAGACACCAAGCACCATTAAACGAATTAAAATTATTGGTAAGCATAAATAAAAAACTAACAAGTTATTTTTAAAAATACTTCATAACACCTCCGAAATTTTATAAAAGTTATAATTCGTATTAAATATAATAAAAATATGATTATATTTACAGTTTTAAAATAATAATTTTATGAATGATTTTTATACTTTTTTGTTAACTTTTATTATATTCAGATTCAAATGACTATAAGATTTACAAACACGTACTGAGTGTGTGGTCCCAACTGGACCCTGAGCATGTGCTCAAATACCTGTGCCATTGGTGTGAATACGATGACTACAGTAGAAATCCATTCATGTTTTGGTTATACATTCAAACGGATGTATACATCATGTCATTGACGGAAGTCATACCAAAAATGAAGGACTACTTCGACGCCAAACCCCGGCAACTGTACCAACCCATGGCCTACTATATGGCATCGGAACTCCTACTCGACGTACTCGAATGCACCCACTATTTGCATACCTGTGCGCCGCCCATAACCCACGCAAACATCAAACCTAATAACATACTCATCACATGCGGGCCTACCGTACGGTGCGTTAAATTGACTGACATTGGACTACCGGTGCCGAACAAAACTATGAATGGGGAACAGTATGACCCATATATAGCACCGGAAGTACTGTATGGACAGGTGGCTGACCCGATGTCTGACATGTATAGCATAGGAACAGTAGTCCAGGAGTTGTTTAACTTTGATATCGATATGTAATTAAAGTTTTAAAATTATTTTATAATTAGTAGTCATTAATAGCTCTCTCTCTCTCTCTCTCTCTCTCTCTCT